ACACTGGAGGCACAACAGTGAACAGGCCGAGAAGGTCCTCACTCTTAAGGAACAGGTTCTAAAAGGGATGGCGGAACATAAACAAACCAGCAAGAAAGTATTCAGAAGTGGTAAGCTCTGATGTGGTGGTGTGAGCCCAGCGAGAATGGGAGCCAGGGTGGGAGCGCCCCCCAACATGAGCTGTACTACCAGAGTTGCAGCTGTGGCCAGAAGCACAGTGCTGAAGCCCCAAAAGGACAGGCGAGAAATACCCCAACCACTCTCTTCTGTCCTCTGCTCTCCTTCTGATGCTTCCCATTGGATAAATACAACCTATCGGCCAAAGAGTCTGAGTCTGGATGATGCAGTCCCTGGGGGTCAGCCTCCCAGAGCTCAGGGCAGGGCAGAGAAAGACAGAGCAGGGTCAGGGGTATGAGGGTAGGAAATCAAAGGAGAATCATCTCCAAAGGTAGTCATTAGAAAACCTTGACCACTTCTAAGCTCCTTGAGGGCAGGCTCTTAGTTGGGTTTACCTTTCTCTTCCTCACAAGACCCAGGGAGCATAACACTTGGCAAGAAGTGAGTGCTTGTTAGTTTAATTGCACTTTGTGGGGCTCCCTCTGTCTGATCTACATGAGTGTGCTTCAGGCATCAGAGTCTCCCACGAGGATTCGGTTCTTCACTGTCCCTGGGGACACACAGCATCTTGTTCATGATGGTATTCCAGTAGCATGCTTGGTGCATGGCTCTGTCCAATGAACGTTTGCTAAAGAAGGAAAGGACTCTTTGTGTATACAGAATTTACTTTGTTACCTTTAATGCAGAATTGTGGTAGAATAAAATACGTCTCAACTTGGAACTCTGCTATAAATGGAAAGGTTTCATACAGGTTAGGGAAGAAGACTTGTAGGGCAGATTCCAACCATTTCAACTTCCTTCTCCCTCTCTCCCCGAGGAAGCCTCTCCTCCTGTGGTGATTAAGAATAGATGCATATACTTCCTCTTTTAGACTCTCCATAATGTATTCTCTTCTCTCCAAACCATCATGGATGGGGAACCTCCTCATACAACTGGAGTGAGAAGAATTTAGTCACAAATGTATAATTTACAATCAAAAGTGTTTTAGAAGAGGTAAAATCAAGAACCGTGTAGAGTATTCTAGAAGTAGAGGGCGAGGGAGACCCAGGGAGGGAGAGATGAGAGGGGCAATTATAATATTAGATGGGTTTCCTTGAGTTTGTGGGAATCAGACTTATGCAAACGCTCAAGTCTTACAGAATAGAGTTAATGTATGCTGTAGTCCTGTAAGGGCTGCAAGAGTTGCCTGGGCTTGTCCTTCAGAAGGGAAAAGGCAAGACGTAATAGAGGAGCTGAGGGCAAGTTCTATGACTCAGGAAATGGGGTGAGGGGGAAGCAGTGAGATGGTGCAAGCAGATATAGAGGGTGCAACTGACGGGGGCAGTTTGACTTGGAAGCTCCTTGCTCTGTGGGCAACCAGGGAGGAAGACGAGAACTGTGGTTTCCAAAATGTAATCATCCATTGTGCAGAGACAATGCTATGGGAAAACTTCTCTTTCTCCTTCCGGGCTCACCTGATGACTTTTCCTCTAGCTCCCTTCCATCTAGGTAGGGCCATATGCCTAGTTCTGGCCAAAGTGATGTGGATGGAATTGATGTAGACCACTTCCATCCCTGGCCCACCAAAAATAGATCCTGCTCAATTTCCCCCTCTAATTGAGGGTAGAGATATCCCCAAGATGGAAAGAGACAAAATTTCTGAATGTGGAGCCTATGGTGATAACCTGGATGTGAGCACAAAGCAAAAACAGCCAGATACAGAGGTTTAAGTCCTCCATTCATACCCCAGGACGCTTCCCTTCTTTGGGTATGTGTTGCAATGGTGGGATCAGGATGGAGTGTAGAGAAATGTTTGTTACTATAACCGAGGTCTTACTTCTTCCATTTTGATATATCACCCCTTCTGGGCTAAATAACAGTAATTTTAAAAGGCCTTCTTTTTTGAAGATTGCAATCGCTTCTATAGCTATGGTTGAATATAAAGGCAAAGTCTGAATGGTAGTTACCAGGATGAATCAGCCTGACCTTAAAAGGTGCTTCCCTGAAAGGGATAAGGAAAGAAGCCATATAGGATTTTTAGGCTAATCAGAGGCTACCACACCCTCCAAAGTTTCGGGAAAAGAGCCTTCCTTCTTCACCACTCTCTAAGGTGCATGTCTGGTCTGAAACTGGGTGGAAGATGGGTATTGGCATAAGGAGTAATACAGCTTACACCTCGGGTCATAAACCAACCTGTGAATGGGGCTAGAAAGAAAAACAAAGGGGCCGGTAGGGTGGTTCTAGGAGCCCTGGGTTGGAGATCCTCTCTCCTGCAAGGTCTGTTCCTCCCGAAATGGACCTTCTAATGCACTTCCACACCACCCTGATGAGAGGAAAGCCTAGAGGTGGGTTTGAATATCTTTTAGTCTCTAGTCTTTCTACCAAGCTTGCCGGTTATTCCTTTGATACATACTAGAGTTCCTTAGATATAACTATTGTCATGAATTGGATACATGGACTGAAGTGTGAATGTGGGAGGGGGTGCAAACCTGTAGGGGAACTTGGAATTATGTGGGAGTTCAAAGAAAACTCGAAGAAACTCTAGGGCACCTGTCTGGGATGCTCAAAACCGGGAATGTGGACCAGCTGATTTCTGTTTGAGGCCAATCTAGTCTCTTCACATGGTTACAAGGCTTGGAGAAGTTTAGGAAAAAGTATAGTTGCCATTTAGAATTTTCTAGAAATGACTATGATGGCCTCAACTCAGTGTTATTATTTAACTGCTAAATCAGATCAAAGATTGGGCATCTGGGTTACATTTCATTTGCTCATTGGAAAGAGAGGTGGAAGAGAAAGGCCGTGAAGGTTTGTCTGTACAGCAATACAATTTCATTTCCTAAAAAGTAGTTTTGTTGCAAATGATGAACCCGAATCTGTGCAAGACTTAGGGCAAGGTGGAAATGAGACTAGAAACTGCACTTAATCTATGAGTTCTAAGTGGTCAAGGCTGAGATAGACCAGACTCAGGCTCCAAAGCAAGTCACTAGTGATGTTTTAGACCGTTTTCTTTCTTTAGTCTTCAAGCTATTGGAACAACTTTTCAATTATTTGTCATTTCTTTTGTTGTTGTTGTCTTTGTTGAGGTGAATCATTATGAAAACTAAACAGAGAAAAAAGCAAACACCCCAAGCATCACAGAAGGAACACGTCAGAACCGCCCACATTTGATGGTCGACAAGTTTTTTCAAATGCAGCTTTACTGAGTGTGATGAGGTTACAAACACTACAGACATTTCACTTGGTTGTTCCTTTTATAGTACCAGAATGTTTTAAGCAAACAAACAAATTTTTGGCCAAAATTTGCTGAATAAATACAAAGTTTTTAGAAGTGTCCAAGAGAAGTATTTTATTTCAAATTCTCTGAAAGGGAAATTTAATGATCTTTACCCTCTGAATATACTGGATTCTTTAATATTTTAGAATCTTTAGTTCTCATAATTACCACGGAGGAGTGTTTAGGAAACTGTGCTATAGCTTTTCTTGGTATGAAAAGAAATACTGAAAAATAATTCCTTTTAATGCTGCCTTGTGCTCGAGAACTTATGCATCAGCGGCTGGAAGGAGGTCTAGCTCCTTCAGAGAAGACTCCTTCAGAGAAGACTCCTTCAGAGAAGAATTCAGTAGAACCATTCAGAGATTACATGAATTCATTTCTTTGTAACTCAAGGAAAAAATTAATTAAACGAAATGATTTTGTTTCCTTCATCTAGTAACTTGGATGAATTCTGAAGATATTTGGCCAGAATAACCAGCAAAAAATTGACGTTTAAACATTCACATATTTCCGGATAAACCTCTATTTACACACGTTTGTAAAATACAATTCCCATAGTTGCTGCTCTGCCTTAAATCACAGAACCATTCAGTACAGGCTCACTTCCTTCTTAGCTCAACTATACCTCCCCGCTCATGACGTTCCACTGCCATCTAATCATTGTTTAGAATTGTATCAATCTGTGCTATTACTGACCTTCTATTCATAATCATTCTTACAACAAAGGAAGTCAAAATAAAACTCATTCAATGCCACTGAAAGCAACTAGTGCGTTAGGGATGACAGCTGGGCTCCAAGAACCTAACAAGAAATGGACAGACCACATGAAAGTCTGGCTTCCTGGAGAATTTCACATCAGGACTCTGGCCCATTCAGAAAAAAAGAGAGCTTGAGTTTTGTTACTTCAGCTGCTAGGTAACATGCTGCTTCTCTGATACATTGAACGGATGCTTTTATTTAATCACAGGGGTCTGGCAGTACAAAAATAACAAATCCTTTTCTTTCAGAAAAATGAAAGGAGATACAGGGTTGGAGCCAGCCCTGGTGGGGTAGTGGTTAAAATTTGGCGCTCCCGTTGCCACAGCCTGGATTCGGTTTCCGGTCAGGGAAGCACACCACCCATCTGTAGGGTGTCAGACTGTGGCAGCTGCTGTTGCCATGATGCTGAAAGCTGTGCCGCGGGGGTATTTCAAACACCAGTAGGGTGACCAGTGGTGGACAGGTTTCAGTAAGTTTCCAGACAAAGACAGACTAGGAAGAAGGACCTGGTCACCCACTTCCACAAAACTGGTCATGAAAACCCTATGAATAGCAGCAGAACATTGTCTGAGAGAGCGCCGGAGGGTGAGAGGATGGTGCAAAAAGACCGGGCAGGGTTCCGCTCTACTGTACACAGGGTCGCCAGGAGTCAGAATTGACTTGACAGCACTAACAACAAATAGGGTTGGACCCTAAGACTTGGGAGTGTAATTGAATGTAAAGCTTAAAACATAATAAAAATGAAGTAATTTTCTAGTTGGGAAACACGGAGAAACTGTCAAGTTTTCTAGGAGGAGCTGCTTCCATAGTTGGGTTAAAGAGTTTGTTTCACTCACACGTGAAAGGTGAAACACATTATTTTGATTCTGTATACTTCGCAATGTTCTTTATTTATTGACCCAGCTGTTGAAGCAGAAGATAGAACAGCAATGCCAGGAAATTGGGTGTAAGCCCAGATAGGTGTATTTTCTGAGTCTTCAGATAAACAAAGTAGAAAATACATTAAATGGTAATTTCAAATGATTTCTCCAGCTCTAACATGTCTCTAGTTTCATCTCTAGAAAGCCACTGCCAAGTTTTTGCACAACCTATCTTATCAAGCTCTGACAGATGAAAAAATCCTCTAGTTTCAGCATCTCTCCTCATTCTTCCATGATAAAACGTGATGATTGATTTATTTTTTTTGATTGAGCTTATATTGGCTTATAACAATTGATTCTTATTTCATTCCAAGCCTTAAGTCCCCCACTTCACAATACTTCTAGGATCTCAATGGGAGACACATCTATTAGTGTGCATCAAGGAATTACAGCTATTTGCCCACTTATGATCTGTCATACATAATAAGTCACCTTTTTTCTCTCAAAATTAATAATATCCTATAGGCTTCTCAGCTCTATGAGAACCTATATTTATACCAAACTAAAAGATGTTGCAGTCATGAAAAGTTTATTTTACCAATGATGCCACAAGGACCAAAGGTTATCTATAGGTTGTACATTGGTAACTGAAGAGCCCAATGATGTTAACTCGCTCTGTCAATTGGTTCCTCACACAGCTGTATTTTCCAGCCTGGGCAGGTCAGGAGTCAAGGGAGCAGGTGCTTTTAGACCTGCTCCTACTTGGAGAAGCTCCTCATGCTGTGTGTGGGGTGAGGAAACAGCCCAGGGCTTTTATATGAACAATGTCTTGTTTTTACCTTACAGTCTTTATGGCCCTTATCTGAGTGCTACCATTAAACCCACAGACTGAACTGTTCATAAGGGGCAAGGATATAAAATTGTTCCACAAAGTGTATTCTATGAACCACTTTTCACAGTTCGAATATTTTAAATATAAATATTGTAACTCTAGCAATAACCTATCTACAAGGTGGGAGAGGAGGGGATTCATGAAAACCCAGGTACATTTCCATATAGCTCATGTTTAACCGCTTAGTTTGTTTTATTTTTCAAAATCCAATTGCACGTAACCCATAATTGATAGGCCACTTCCTCTCCAAAACAAATCAACTATCAAAGAATAAAGTGATAAATTATAAGAAAGGAAAATAAATATCATTTACTACAATCATTCTCTTGCTCCAAAACTTGGAAAACATGTAAGAAAAATGATATTGAGTGGATAAACTTTACTTTGCAAAGCTAATTTGGAACAGGTGAGATTTAAAAAGATAGAATAGAACGGGCGTATCTTATTTTAATATTTGTATGTGAAATGAATGTGTTAGAATTTTAATTAAGAAATCAGGAGGACTGCTATGAAATGGAACACAATGGCATTTACCAGCAGGAGAATCCATTCAGCCTGTTATTGTCAAATCCGAGAATTCCAAGTGTTTTCTTCATTCTCATCCACATAAAAGAGTGCAAGAAATCGAATTACTCCTGTTGGTTGTATAACCTTTAGGCTATATAAGCTTTCAGTTAACGATCCTTATGGACACAGTTTTAGTTGGTGTTTTTCCCAGGATTACATTAGGGTCAAGGTTGCCTTTAACCATCTTCGTGTTGTTTTTCGGAGGAGGGAGGGGCTCCCATGAGACTTGGCAACTCCATTAATAAGGGACAAGGGTGAAAGTGCAAATACTTTCGGGAGATACAACAAAATGATTTAAATTTACACTGTAAGTTAAATGACTAACATCAGTTCCTTTTCTGAAAGCAGGATTTTATGATAAAAAATACACTGGGGCCCAGGGAATGGAGGAAGAGGGAGTCAGCGCTAAGCAAAAGTGCCGGTCTCCGGGTTAGCCCGTCAGCCCTTTCCAGTCCGACTTTGTTCTACGCTTTATGACTTTGTCATGGGCTGCCTTTCAAAATCCTGTACTCAGTCACGTATAGGAAAAGAAACCGCACTGAAATACAGAATTAAATCTTGTCTTGATGGATAGAGACGGATTTCCATTTCAAAACAAAATCCATAAATGAATATTTTCAATTTTCTAAAGAAAAAACAGAGGAAAATAAACTTTTGTATGTGAAGTCGCTTACTCACGTAAGCTTCATGTGTACTAAAGTGTAGAAGAAAAAATTCAAATGTGGGTGTAACCGCTCTACACGCAGGAACGAGCCACGATGGGAGAGCGCCTACCAGGAATTCTGTCTGCCACCCAGCGGCCGCTGAAATAAATTATTTTCTTTTCTTTGTCGGTGATGGCTCTGCATTTTGCTTAAAAAAAAAAAAAATTGACACAGAGGTAGATTATGCCACACCAGAAACTGAAAACCAGCAAGACATATGGCTCGATACATTTTAAAATACAATCATTGTAGTAAATGTTATATATTTTCCTTTTCGCTAAGTCAAAGGTTAACCACGAATAAATATTGGGTCTTCCTGCGTCCCCGCGTCTACCGGGGTTCAGATACTGACTGGCACCGAGGACACCGAGCTGGCTCGGGATTCCCGGGTCACGCTGTTGGGCATGGAGAGGGTGCAGCAGGACACGCCCACGGTGGCCTCGGGCAGCTCGTCGTCCTCCGTCCACTCGTTGAGCTCGGGGCTGAAGCACTGGATGCACTTCTTGTACTTCTTCTCGCCCTCGTTCCAGCCGCCCAGCAGGTAGGCGCGCCCGTGCAGCGCCGAGGCGCCCGCCGTGCTCACGCCCACCGGCAGCGGCGCCGCGAAGCTCCACTGGCCCGAGGCGGGGCTGTAGCACTCCACCGGCAGCACGTCCACGCGCTCCCCGCGCGGCCCCAGCTGGCTGCCCCCCATCACATACACCCTGTCGCCCAGCGTGACGGCGCAGTGCCAGCCTCGGGGCGTGCTCAGGCCCGGCAGCTCCTGCCACGCGTCGCTGGCCGGGTCGTAGGCGCACACCGAGCGCGAGTACGCAGTGCCGATGTAGCCGCCAGTCACCAGCACCCGGCCGTCGGTGACCGCGCTGGCGTGGCAGCAGCGCGCCACCTCCAGGGGTGTCTTCGGCTGCCACTGGTTGGTGGAGGGCACGTAGCACTCCAGCGAGGCCAGGCTGCCTTCTGTATTGCGGCCGCCCACGGCGTAAAGGAGCCCGTTGAACACGCTCAGGCTGAAGTGCGTGCGCTTCTGGTTCATGCTGGCCAGGTGTATCCAGGTGTTGAAGCGGGGATCGTATCTGGAAATGGCAGAGGAAGTGTGACAGCCTTGTTGGAGGCAGCTAGGGAACTCAGGTTCCTCCGCAACCATAACGTGGGACTCTGGACATTATCCCTGCGAGAAGGCCAGGGACCTAGCGCAGCTCCCCACCTGGAGGCTGGTGTTTTCCTTTCAACCAGTATAAAAGTGTAACACTTGGAAAAGGCAAGGCTAGCATTGGTGACTTCCCCTCCTCCTGTTTATAAAATCACTTCCTTTATCAGGCCCAACAGAGACCGACCTTTCAGTCCCCTTTCCTGAATATTCAAATATCCATCATCCAGTAGGATGTATGAGATGTGCATGTGGGGGAGGGGATGGAAGCTGGGTATTTGTGGCAATCAGAAAAGGGAACACTGCCGCATTAAAGTCAGTTCCGCATACCTTCAGACACCCACCATCCCTAGCTCTCTCTCACTGCTTAATCAAGATAGGCCTTGACCAATTGCATTTCTCCCTGTCTCACAAACCCCTTCTTATTCATACTCCTTTCCTGGAAATTGCAACGGTAAAGCCAAGTCACTCAACCAAGTCTTCTACCATCTGTTTAGAATGAGATCAGTGGAAGTCATCTCCAAAAGCATCAACAAAGACTTAACTTATGATATTTTTCTATTTTCTAGCATGTATGAGTGGGTAAGATTTTTTAGTTTAGGGATATGTTCTTTTCAGTGTTCAATACTACAGTTATTATACCATAAGCACTGAAATCAATATTGCAAAAAGAGCGACTTGAGTACTAATGGTTGAGTTATCAGCAGGAGAAAAAGTGGCAGAGTAGATGATGCTTTCCTGCTTACATCGTCTGACGTCTCGTAAACACAGAACCCATTCCCTCAGTTTGAAGTTCATTCATCTATGTCCCATTTAAACTCCAAATCAAAACTTGGTTATAGTTATAAACTAAAGGCTAAAAATCAATCAATTGTTTGGATTCATTTAAATGACACACACATATATATAATGAAATAATATAGAATATTTTTCATGTATACTGGATACATTTTCAGATCTTGCTCATTAGTTATTTTTGACCTTGGAATACTACCATGATATAAGAACGACTTTCTGAATATTTCATATATGTGGAGGGTTAATTTTTTATCATAAATATACAAAAATAACATGTCATCTGAATTCCATTTTCTGAAGGATTTATTATGCTTTTCCTCTTTCTTCTTGCATAAAAAATATCGACATTTTCTATGGTATGCAGTCTTCAAAAAATATTTAAAATTAATTAGGTGCCACCTTTTTACTGATCTCATTCTATTTGCCAATATCAATCTGACAGTCATCAGTAACAGTCACTTAAAAGAAACTTTGTATTATTTTAATCTTTCTTACGACTTAGTGTTAAAAACTAGATTTGTACCCAGTGTCTTTCAGAAAGGCAGTGGATTGTGACGAGCGCCTGGCTAGAAATGAGAGAATGTGAACTGCCGCTTACTAGTGGTATAACTTCTCTGGGTATCAGATTTCTCACATATAAAATCAGAATAATCATATCTTCCCCACTCACTTCACAGGCTTATTCGGAATTCTAGAGTGATTGCACTTTGTATAAAGTGAAGTGCTGTATATATGTAACGTGGCATTATTATTGATTTACTGAACCAATGAACCAAGATAATAAGCATGATTAATTTACTTTTATATCAGGGCAATTTCCTCACCATATTGAACCCTTTCAGTTCCTAATAAAGGGTCAAGTACCTGCAGAAATTGCTGACTGCATGCTTGGCTTGATTTCTTGCGTCATTCTGGTCTTCACCACCGGCCACGTAAAGAAATCCGTCCATCACAGCCACACACTGATTGAAACTCTTGGCTGGCATTTCTGTAAGCTTGCTCCATCCATTTTCAGGGTCTCTGTACAAGATGTCTCTACTAAGGGACTTCTCAGTAAGGCCTGGACGTCCCCCAACAGTGACGAGGACTCGACAGCCCCCACGGATTCTCGTGCGCCTAGACTGCAACGTGTTTTGATGATACGGGAGTAAGTGGTAGTTCATAGCATCTACAAGAAGTCTGTGACAATCAGCATCTTGCATCATTCTGGGTACGGACTGAACGTAATTGACCAGGTCTTGCGCAGAGATGGTACCAAAGCGAATATTGCTCAAAAGATCTGCAGCATATTTCACTCTCTTTTGGTCAAATTCTAACCATTTCATTGCAATCTGGAATGCTACTATTTCAGAAGGCAACTGTAAGTCATCATCTATGAGAAGTTCGTTAATTTGCTCAAATGTAAGTTTCATAAACTGATCTGATTCTGCAAATTCCAGGAAGTTATCCCGGATAAATTTTTGGGCTGCCGCTTTCGCGTTTTTCAGGGAGTATGTTTCAGCAATGTTAGCAACGTACATGCAATTCTCAACACTCATCTCTCGTATCAGAAAATCACTGCACATCTTTACAAGGGTATGGATCTGAAGATAAACAGCAGCAGAAATAATGCTTCCTATTGTGTACAAGGAGAGAGTCAGCTTTCCTGTGTAGGCATATGCAATGACAGTGGCCAGGCCTAGCGGTGAGATGTCATTGAGATCCACCCTCTGAGTAGTCGGGTCTTTTTTAAGGATGTTGTAAAAGTACTCACTGCATGAAGCCATCACTGACTTGTGAACGTCAAAAGATTTGGTTTTGGTGCCAATGACTAAGTCGCAAAGGAAGCTCTCCTGCCGCATTTTACTTAAACCTTCCAAGAGGTTGGGGCCATAAGAAGCATCTGTCAATTCAGAAGAAATGCAGCTAAGGCCATTGCCTCCCTCTAGAAGCCCATTCAGAGCATTCAGTTTGTTTAGGGGGCTATCTTCTACAATTATGGTCATCTCATTGATATCCCCTTTGTTCTTTCTGACAGTCTTCTTTTTGGGGGCCATGTTGGCAAACACACTGTCACAGGCAAGAGCTTGCTAAAAGAAAAAGAAAAAGAAAAAGAAAAAGAAAAAGGCATGGTTTTATTTTAATTGTGCTTTAGACTTTGAAATGCTATGTTGAGAAATTTTTTTATAATAGTTTTTTAATGGCATAATGTAGATGAACCCCCAAAATAGATTTAAAGAGTTACATTAAACTAGATGCACATTTTATTGACAGTTTATTTCAGCATCAAGCATTGAAGACAATTCTAGAAAGATTTATATTATCAAATGAGACAATAGCTATATTGCCAGGTAATTTTATACTGCAGAAAAGACCGAATATTCTCTCATCCAGCTGTACAGTAATCACGGAATCGTAGTTAAACATCATTTGAAGGGCTCAGTTTACTCTTACAAAAAAGTGAATTATAACTACTCTGAAGTTTTCCTCAATAAAATACTAAAATTCAGGAATCCATGTAAAATGTAGAACATATATATGCTAGAATAAATGAGGCACTTAAAAATCAAAGGGTAAGGACTTGTAATGACACATTAGTTCAGTTCAGTTCTACTCCGCATATTCAGTAAAATAACTTCCAGAGTTAAATATCTAAATGACACACACACACCAACTTGCGCAAGAACTAGAACAAAGTGGTGGTGCTTGTTTTTTTTAAATCTTAAGAGTAGGAAAGTCCCTCTTAAGCACAGCAAAAAAATCCAGAAGCCGTAAAGGAAAAGACCAAAATATCTGACATAGAAAACAATGAAGACTTCTGTAAAACAGCACCAACTGTTTAAGAGACAAACAACAGACTGTGACACATATTTGTAACATTTTTGACAGATAAAAGGTTAATTGACACAGTATTTAAAGAGTGCCTACAATTATTAACAGAAGGGTAATCCAATTAAAAAATGGACACAGACTATGACCAGGTAGTTCACAGAAAATAAAATACAAATAGTTAATAAATATTTTTTTTAAAGCTAAACCAATAACAATCAGGGAAGTGTCAACTGAAATCCAGAGATCCTTTTAACTTTTTTGTGGTCAAATTTTGCTTATCAGAGATTAAATATTTTTAAATATTCATAACATCGGATATCGGTGTGGTACTCTCCCTACACTGATGATGGGAGTATAATTGATACAGTCTTTTGGATGTAATTTTGCAGTCTATCCAAAAAGTCATATTTTTATGCTTTGACACTAAAATTCTAAATCTAGGAATGAGAGATATATTCACATAGAGAAATATTACATGGATGCTCGCATATTAAGGATAATAACCGTTTTCCCATTATCAATGTTATAAATATTTGAACTAGTTTTTAAACCTGTATGAACTGTGAATTTAGCTCTATGATATAGCTCTGAAAAGCTCTAGTATAAACACAGAATTGAAATATATTAAGTTTTCCAATTACATACATAGTCCTTAAAATATCGTAGGTTAAATTGTTTTAGCCTTTCTCAAAAAATTGAGCATAGTCATCAGAAGATGCTATACTCAGACTTTTAAATGGATTTTATTTACGGTATGGTAGCATTCACTTTTTTGGTGAGATTAGCAGTGTTGCTTTTTTCCTTCATTTTTAAAATTACAAAATCAATATGTGAAATTTGACAACTCAGTTTGTTATATATCATTCCTGATAATTGTATATACTTATACAAACTTATATATGCATATTTTTGAGCAGTCATGTGCTGGTAAACCAACTTTCTAGGGGGGAAAAGCCCTTATTTGTAAGGTGCTGATTTCTTTGGTGCAAATACACTCATCGTGGCTGATTTTAAGCTATCTACTGTGCAACAACCAGTGTGAAAAATTCCTGAAAATTTAACAATTGGCTCTCATGAGCTCGTCCAAGTCAGCTCCAGCACACCACTATAGGAGAACCTATATCAAAACAGGTTGTGTTCTATTACTCAGCAGTTTGCACTTCTGGCTTAGCAGTAACTCCTGCACATCTTTCCATATTGATACTTATGTAAATTTACCGCATTCTCTCTAATAGCTGCACAGTCTCCTATAGTAAGGATATATAAAACTTGTTCAATTATTCTCCTGTTGATGTTCATTTAGGGGTGTGCATGTGTTTTAAGTCTCACTGCTCAGTTCATCATTGGGAGGGGGGGTAAAGCTTGGCTTTGATTCCCCTTGAAAGGTCTTCAATTTAATTACTGAAATATTTGTTTAAAAATTTCATAACCCTTCGGTTGTGTTTGTCTCTGTCCCTTTCCATGTGGAAGGATAGTAGCAAGTAGGTAGGAAATAAAGAATGTCTCTCTCTTTGCTAGGGCTTTTGTCTTTCTCATTAAGCTCACCTTTCAATTTCTATTTATTTACAAGGCTGTAGCACATTCTTTCTCGCAAACAACACCCAAGGCATCCTTACCTTGTGAAATAGATTTCCAACCCACCATCATTTTAGTCTTCAAATGCACTGACTTATGTGGTGAGGGCTCCCTTTGCTGGGTTTTTCTGGGGAAAATTTTTGTTCAGCAAGCAGTTATCAGACACCTACTGCTGTGTGGGCAGCACTGGTGATGGAGCAATACAATATGTAATTCATGTTAGAGAGACAAGACATGACAGGCACAAAAAGACAACAAGGAACTAGGTAAGCACAGCAGAGAAATTTTTTTCTTTTTAAACAACAGTTATTTCCATCTAGGATGCAAGCACAAATGTGTCTTTGGGGGAAGCCCTGGCCATTTTCCTGGAAGAACCCTTTTGGCCAATTTTTTATTCAGGTATATGTAGAACTTATAGCCACTCATTGTTTTGGAGGAAATCCTGAATCCGAGTAGTCTTCAGACTAAAATGCTAAATCTTCTGTTTATCTACTATTAAAAGATTATTTCATTGGTAGCATATATGGGTGATATTTCAACAACTGATAAAACAGGGCACCTGCTAACTAGCATGGGTTCATGGCACAGTGCTGGAGCTGGATTCTAGAGGCTCCCTCGGGTCCCCGTGTGTAAGTCTTCAGTTGCTGGATCAGAGTGAGGCCCAGGGGGTCCTGGGAGGGGACTACATGGGTGGGAGCGATTCAGGGGGCAGGGAGGGGGTCAGGGAAGCAGATATTTGGCTATTTACCAATTCAGCACAGAGGGATCTCAGTATTTTAACAACTAGTACACTGTACTGAAATATTCTCGTCCTCAGGACAGGGTGTAATTCTTTGGAGATTATTTTGATTTTAAGCTTTTTTTGTTTCTTCTGATGAATATGGAGATTTCTGGATAAAAGAGAGAATCCTCAACAACATTGTGAGATGCTGAGGCTAAGGAGACAAAAGACCAGCAAGGAATTCCAAATGAAGGGGTGACTGGTGGACACTAGGAGTAATGATATCTGATTCCCAGTTTTAAGTCTTCCTTTTCGACATTGTTATTCTCATATATCATCCTTAATTAAGGTATTCTCAAGTATCCTTAGCGAAGTTTGATAAGTTGCCAACTAGTCCACTCTTTGCCTTTAGGAATGTTGTTTAGTTATAGTCGTGAAGACCTCAGCTCTGAAGAATTCACCTAGGTTTGAGTAGCAGCTCTAGACTCCACTACTGGTGGGAAAACCAAGTAAAGCTCCTATCTGACAGATTGTCCCAAAGATAGAAACTATAAGCTGGGAGGATGGGAGGATAGCAGGGAGAGAGAAGTAGGGAAAACTACCCAGAGATGCTAGAGAGTGTAAAAAAGCAGGATGATTTCATAGAGGAGTCAAGAGTTGAAAAAAGGAATAGCATAGGATGAGTTCCTTCCTCCATGTTTTTTTGGTTCGGGTGGTTTTCCACCTATGAGCAGGCTGCAATTGGTACTGCACAGGGCAGCTGCAACTGCGATGGAAAGTACTGCTGCACTGAAGAACCAGAGGACAGAGTTTGTGGCAACCACACCCACTGGAAAACGAAGTGGGAATTCTGGAAAAGAGAGATCCAAAAGGGGGAAACCCAACAGAAGATTAAATCTTCAGGAAGGAATGAAGATGGTAAATATAAAGGACTATTTTTTTTCTCTAAAGTTCTTCAAAATACATTTGACTCTTCAAAGCAAAAATGATTACGTTGTCTTGTGAGGTTTATTGTAGTACGTATGACAATTGCAGCATAAGGGGTGGGGTGGCGGTGGTAAATGAATCTATACAGTAGCAAGCTTTCTATATTTTCTGTGGAGTGGTACAATATTAACTTATATACCCTGTGAAAATTTAACTTTGCATATTGCAATCTCTAACGTGGTGCTGTCCTCTAGAAACATAATGCGAGCCACATATGCAATTTAAAAAATTCCAGTAGCCACATTAAAAAGATAAAAAAGAAAAAGCAGGTGCAAATTAATGTTAATAAGATATTTTATTCAGCCTAATATGTACAAAATATTATTTTAACATATAATTGCTATAAAATTATTAATGTGATATTTTACATTCTTTTTTTCATACTATCTTCGAAATCCAGTGTATTTTATCCTTACAGCACATCTCATTTTGGACTAGCCACATTTCAAGTGTTTAATAGCCATATGTGGCTGATGACTATGGTATTGGACAGCAGAGCCCTAGAGCAAACACCTAAAGAATGCAAGGTATAGCTGAAAAACCAATAGATAAATTTAAATGGAATTCAGAAGAGGGCAGGAAATTTGGAATAGAGGAAGAAAAATTAGAGGGGACACACAAAAAACCAAATGATTTAATGGTAAACCTAAATTAAACTATATTAATAATTATATTAAATGTTAATGGATGAAACATTCTAATTAAAAGGCACAGATTGTCAGAATGGATAAAAAAATCAAGACCCAAATATATGCTGTCTGCAAGAGACTCACTATAAAGACACAGATAAGAAGAAAATAACGGATGGAAAAAGATTTACCTTGGAAAGAGTAGACATAAGAAGGCTGGAGTGGCTATATTAATATCAAGTAAAACAGACTTCAAGGAAAAAAAAACAATTACCAGTGATAACGAGGGAATTTCATAATGATCAAAAGGTCAATTCATCATGTAGATATCATAATCCTAAATGTA